TTTCTTCTTTTCAGATAAGTTCCCACAGACACCATTGATCTTTTTAGCTATCTGTAATGAGGTAATTCTTCCCAATGACCACAAGTGTAAGGAGCATTCTTCCTATTAACCATCACACTAATGAGATGTAGATATAGTCCAGGGTTTCTCAACTAGGGTTCTGTGGAACCCTAGGGTTCCTCCAAAGGTTGCTAGGGGCTCCTTGAGCAACGAGCAATTTCTGCCTCCCAGATAAGTTCCCACTGACACCATTGATCTTTTTAGCTATCTGCAAGGGGAGGATTCTTCCCAATGACCACAAATGTAAGGAGCATTCTTCCTATTAACCATCACATTAATGAGATGTAGATATAGTCCAGGGTTTCTCAATCAGGGTTCTGTGGAATCCTAAGGTTTCTCCAGAGGTTGCTAGGGGTTCCTTGAACAAAGAGAGATTTTTGCTTTGCAGATAAGTTCCCACTGACACCATTGACCTTTTTAGCAATCTGTAATGAGGTAATTCTTCCCAATGACCGCAAGTGTAAGGAGCATACTTCCTATTAACCATCACGCTAATGAGGTGTAGATATAGTCCAAGGTTTCTCAACTAGGGTTCCATGGAACCCAAGGGTTTCTACAGAGGTTGCTAGGGGTTCCTTGAGCAATGAGAAATTTCTGCTTTTCAGATAAGTTCCCACTGACACCATTGATCTTTTTAGCTATCTGCAAGGGGAGGATTCTTCCCAATGACCACAAATGTAAGAAGCATTCTTCCTATTAACCATCACACTAGCGAGATGTAAATATAGTCCAGGGTTTCTCAACCAGGGTTTTATGGAACTCTAGAGTTCCTCCAAAGGTTGCAAGGGGCTCCTTGAGCAACAAGCAATTTTCTGCCTCCCAGATAAGTTCCCACTGACACCATTGATCTTTTTAGCAATCTGTAATGAGGTAATTCTTCCCAATGACCGCAAGTGTAAGGAGCATTCTTCCCAATGACCGCAAGTGTAAGGAGCATTCCTCCCAATGACCACAAGTGTAAGGAGCATTCTTCCCATTGACCGCAAGTGTAAGGAGCATACTTCTTATTAACCATCATGCGAATGAGATGTAGATATCGCCCAAGGTTTCTCAACCAGGGTTCCATGGAACCCAAGGGTTTCTACAGAGGTTGCTAGGGGCTCCTTGAGCAATGAGAAATTTCTGCTTTTCAGATAAGTTCCCACTGACACCATTGATCTTTTTAGCAATATGTAATGAGGTAATTCTTCCCAATGACCGCAAGTGTAAGGAGCATACTTCCTATTAACCATCATGCTAATGAGATGTAGATATCGCCCAAGGTTTCTCAACCAGGGTTCCATGGAACCCAAGGGTTTCTACAGAGGTTGCTAGGGGCTCCTTGAGCAATGAGAAATTTCTGCTTTTCAGATAAGTTCCCACTGACACCATTGATCTTTTTAGCTATTTGTAATGAGGTAATTCTTCCCAATGACCACAAATGTAAGGAGAATTCTTTCTATTAACCATCACACTAATGAGATGTAGATATAGTCCAGGGTTTCTCAATCAGGGTTCTATGGAACTCCAGAGTTCCTCCAAAGGTTGCTAGGGGTTCCTTGAGCAACAAGCAATTTCTGCCTCCCAGATAAGTTCCCAGGTGTCAGCTTTGATCTTTTTAGCTATCTGTAATGAGGTAATTCTTCCCAATGACCACAAGTGTAAGGAGCATACTTCCTATTAACCATCACACTAATGAGATGTAGATATAGTCCAGGGTTTCTCAACCAGGGTTCCGTGGAACCCTAGGTTTCTCTCCAGAGGTTGCTAGGGGTTCCTTGAACAAAGAGAGATTTCTGCTTTTCAGATAAGTTCCCACTGACACCATTGATCATTTTAGCTATCTGCAAGGGGAGGATTCTTCCCAATGACCACAAATGTAAGAAGCATTCTTCCTATTAACCATCACACTAATGAGATGTAGATATAGTCCAGGGTTTCTCAATCAGGGTTCTGTGGAATCCTAAGGTTTCTCCAGAGGTTGCTAGGGGTTCCTTGAACAAAGAGAGATTTTTGCTTTTCAGATAAGTTCCCACTGACACCATTGACCTTTTTAGCAATCTGTAATGAGGTAATTCTTCCCAATGACCGCAAGTGTAAGGAGCATACTTCCTATTAACCATCACGCTAATGAGGTGTAGATATAGTCCAAGGTTTCTCAACTAGGGTTCCATGGAACCCAAGGGTTTCTACAGAGGTTGCTAGGGGTTCCTTGAGCAATGAGAAATTTCTGCTTTTCATATAAGTTCCCACTGACACCATTGATTTTTTTAGCAATCTGTAATGAGGTAATTCTTCCCAATGACCGCAAGTGTAAGGAGCATACTTCCTATTAAACCATCATGCTAATGAGATGTAGATTTAGTCCAAGGTTTCTCAGCTAGGGTTCCATGGAACCCAAGGGTTTCCTCCAGAGGTTGCTAGGGGTTCCTTGAGCAATGAGAAATTTCTGCTATTCAGATAAGTTCCCACTGACACCATTGATCTTTTTAGCTATCTGCAAGGGGAGGATTCTTCCCAATGACCACAAATGTAAGAAGCATTCTTCCTATTAACCATCACACTAGCGAGATGTAAAATATAGTCCAGGGTTTCTCAACCAGGGTTTTATGGAACTCTAGAGTTCCTCCAAAGGTTGCAAGGGGCTCCTTGAGCAACAAGCAATTTCTGCCTCCCAGATAAGTTCCCACTGACACCATTGATCTTTTTAGCAATCTGTAATGAGGTAATTCTTCCCAATGACCGCAAGTGTAAGGAGCATTCTTCCCAATGACCGCAAGTGTAAGGAGCATTCCTCCCAATGACCACAAGTGTAAGGAGCATTCTTCCCATTGCTGCAAGTGTAAGGAGCATACTTCTTATTAACCATCATGCGAATGAGATGTAGATATCGCCCAAGGTTTCTCAACCAGGGTTCCATGGAACCCAAGGGTTTCTACAGAGGTTGCTAGGGGCTCCTTGAGCAATGAGAAATTTCTGCTTTTCAGATAAGTTCCCACTAACATCGTTAATCTTTTTAGCTATCTCTAATAAGGTAATTCTTCCCAATGACCACAAGTGTAAGGAGCATACTTCCTATTAACCATCACACTAATGAGATGTAGATATAGTCCAGGGTTTCTCAACCAGGGTTCCGTGGAACCCTAAGGTTTCTCCAGAGGTTGCTAGGGGTTCCTTGAACAAAGAGAGATTTCTGCTTTTCAGATAAGTTCCCACTGACACCATTGATCTTTTTAGCTATCTGTAATGAGGTAATTCTTCCCAATGACCACAAGAGTAAGGATCATTCTTCCAAGTGACCATCACACCAATGTATCATGAGTTATAGATATAGTCATTTTTAGCAGGGGTTCCCTGGGATTGAAAAGTTATTTCAAGGTTTCCTCTGCGTTGAAAAGGTTGAAAAAGGCTGATATAATCATTTTTAGCCGGGGTTCCCTGAGACCAGAAGGCTATTTTCAAGGGTTTCTCTGTGTTGAAAATGTTGAGAAAGGCTGTTTTATAGCATCTGCTGAGCATCTTATCATTTCTACAATGGGGATGAATATATCATTTTCTTTCTTTTGTTTAATAAGTAAATGTGAATGCACAGCACTGACATAGTCTAAAGGTGTGCATATTAAAAAGAAAAAAGAACAGACATAAGCATTTAATTAGCTTAATTAACCCGCTCTATAAAACAAGTTTTCTGATGCTGTCATGACAACATGGATGACTAACTTTCCAAAACATTCCTTCCCCCTGATCATTCGGATAAATTCCCGTTAATTACCGGTATCGCATTCCTGACTGGCGAGATCATAAATTAGGGGGATCTGCTCAGAAGGTCACTTTATACATTTTATGACGGGTGAAAGTGACTTTATACTTTCTATTTGATTTCCCCTCACCCCTCCTCTCCTCCTCCTCGGCCATGATGATTAATGCGGAGTGACCGAGGAGATACTTTGTATCGGTTGCAGAAGGTCGGGATGGAAGATGTGTGCCGAAGTCTTTGTGATCCACCAAGTCTGAAGAGTGAAAGGCGATGATGCCCATGAAATGAGTTTCACAATGGTCCAATTAAGACCAAGAACCGCGACAACCGCTCCGAAAACGTTCAAAGAGCCAAGGGAGTGGGGTTGGGGGCTCTCTGTAGACATAAAAAAAAAGAGGACCTGTCAAATATTTATGATGTGACTCAAGCAAAATGAATAAAATAGAGGCGAGGTAAAGGAAGAAGGAAGCGAGCCGGGCTTTGACGATCTATTACTACCTTTCGCTGAATGGGGGAGAAAAAAAGAACTTTCAACTTCAATCGATCAATTATTAAGCCCTGGTTCACACCGCCGCGATTTCAGGTGCGATTTGGAAATTGAAATCGTACCTGAAATCGGATCGAATGAATGTGAGTGTCTTAAGAAACGCGATTTGCTGCAGTGCGGTTTCAAAAGTAGTTCTTGCATTGCATTTTTGTTGCGATTTCACATACATAGACTACAATGGAAATCGCAGTGCAAAATGCAAGAAATCGTTGGGAAATCTTCGCAATTCGCACATGCTCTGCTTGGTGTGTATTGTTAGAGAGTTTTTTTTTTTCTTTGGAAGAGCACATGTGATCAGCACAGGGCCGATCAGCACTGTCCAGACAGAAGTCAGGGGTTCTGCATCCTCTTAGAGCAAAATGAAAACTCCTCCTACAAGCTTTAACCAGTGCTCTGCTGGACACTGATAGAAGTCACTAGACTGCTATATACTGCTGATGAGAGAAAAGGTATTTAGCAATTTATATTTACTACAATAATTGTATTTCCATGTTCTGTGTGAGACCAGATATAGTGAATGCAGGGTCAGGGGAGAGTGCGGATATAGTGAATGCAGGGTCCGGGGAGAGCGGATATAGTGAATGCGGGGTCCTGGGAGAGCGGAAATAGTGAATGCGGGGTCCGGGGAGAGCGGATATAGTGAATGCAGGGTCCATGGAGACCAGATATAGTGAATGCAGGGTCTGGGGAGAGCGGATATAGTGAATGCAGGGTCCATGGAGACCAGATATAGTGAATGCAGGGTCCGGGGAGAGCGGATATAGTGAATGCAGGGTCAGGGGAGGCAGGCTATAGTAAATGCAGGGTCCGGGGAGAGCGGATATAGTGAATGTAGGGTCCGGGGAGAGCGGATATAGTGAAATGCGGGGTCCGGGGAGAGCGGATATAGTGAATGCGGGGTCCGGGGAGAGCGGAAATAGTGAATGCGGGGTCCGGGGAGAGCGGATATAGTGAATGCAGGGTCCATGGAGACCAGATATAGTGAATGCAGGGTCAGGGGAGGCAGGCTATAGTAAATGCAGGGTCCGGGGAGAGGGATATAGTGAATGCAGGGTCCGGGGAGACCGGATATAGTGAATGCAGGGTCCGGGGAGAGCGGATATAGTGAATGCAGGGTCCGGGGAGACCGGATATAGTGAATGCAGGGTCCGGGGAGAGCGGATATAGTGAATGAAGGGTCCGGGGAGACCGGATATAGTGAATGCAGGGTCCGGGGAGACCGGATATAGTGAATGCAGGGTCTGGGGAGAGCGGATATAGTGAATGAAGGGTCCTGGGAGACCAGATATAGTGAATGCGGGGTCCGGGGAGACCGGATACAGGATACAGGGAATGCGGGGTCTGGGGAAAACGGATATAGTGAATGCTGGTTAAATAGTAGAGGTAAAAAATAAAGTGTAAAATTGTATCGGATAATAACTAGAAAGTCACCCCCAGCTTCCCATACAATGCCCCTTAGTCCCTGTGATGACCTTTTTTCTTGTCTAAGGCTGGGTTCACACCTAGGTTGCGTTTGACCCGTTTATGAATTGCGTTTTGCATTTTTGCACCTGTGTTTTGATGCATTTTTGATGCTTTTTGCAGGGGTGGGGACTTCATTTTTTTTTTTTTTACTTTTTTCTTGTTGCTAGGCAGATTTAAAATGCAAAACGCAGCAAAAACGCACTTCATGCTTTTCTGCAGTGTTTCCATTGAAGTCTATAGATCCAAAAATGCTACTGTTGCGTTCAGAAATAGTTCCTGACCAGGGGCGGACTGACAATTCATGGGGCCCCCGGGCAATAGGAGATCATGGGGCCCCTGTGTCCTTGCCCAAACTCAAAAAAGCCTATGAAAAAGGTACCAGGGGCATCTCATGGGGCCCCCTACTGACCCAGGGCCCTCGGGCAGTGCCCGAGTTTACAAATGGTCAGTCCGCCCCTGTTCCTGACCCTTCCTGAAAAACGCAGCGGGTGAAAATGCGGAGATGTGAATGTGTCCCATAAGAAATCATGTTAAATGGACTGCAAAACGCTGCGGAAAACGCTTCGCTGTGAACCCGGGGTCAGAGAATTAATTAACAATATCATCTTTTGTCTTTAATTAAACGCCGGCCCGTCCTTAATCTATATTCTGCGTATTAAACACCTGAACCACTCGGCGTAATTGAAATCCACAGAAAGCCCCATTCACCGGCCGGCCTTCGGTTATAAATGAAAAACTCGATGAGGTCCCTCCGGACGAATGGAAGGAGTAACCTCACCCGCTGCAATGTGATTACCTGACTATTACATCTCCTTGTGAAAAGAAACTCGATATTGTGGAGGTATAATAGGCGAAGCTAACATCCTCCGCTGCCTCACGCTCTGCGGACCGGGGAACATGTATGGGGGTCCCGGATCCCAAAGATTAATTATCCCCTGCGTGCCGCGTGAATTTGCCATTTCTGCATTCTTCGGTGTTATCATCCCGAATCCTCAAAAATCAGCAGCTGATGGGTTAAAATGAAAGCTGAACTCCAAGCAGATGTTAAAGACACTAGGGCTAGGTTTGAAAATGTCGCTCCTCTGAAAAGCAATCTAAGTTGAGGTCGCTTTTTAGAGGTGATTGACAGGTGGTGGGGGTGAGCTGATCTGACGCTTCCTCGCTGCCTCCTTTAGCCATTATTGATGCCGAACAACTGTGTCACAATTGCATGCATTGCACATGGTTTTGGGGATTTTGCGTCGCTTCCTTGTTCGTTTGAATGGGTCGTGAGCAGGGGCGGACTGATCATTCGAGCACTAGGGCACTGATCAAGGGCCCGGGGTCAGTAAAGGGCCCCATGAGATGCCCCTGAGATGCACAGGGGCCCCATGATCCCCTATTGCCTGGGGGCCCCATGAGTTGTCAGTCCGCCCCTGGTTGTGATCAGGGGCGGACTGATCATTCGAGCACTAGGGCACGGCCCGAGGGGCTGGGGTCAATAGGGGGCCCCATGAGATGCCCCTGGTACTTTTCATTGGCTTTTTCATAGGCTTTTTTGGGCATGGCCTGACCTACAATACACCCCCCCATCTACATACAGATCCAAAAGACACCTACCCCACCTCAATCTACAGTACACCTCCCCCCAGTACCTACCTACAGTACACCTCCCCCATATCACCCAGTACGAGCCGTACACCTACAGTACGCC